TCGCGTCCGTACGCGCGTTGGTCGTTGGATTCGCGAGACGAGTACGGTTTCCAAGTCGAGGGCGGGTTTCGCGACGCTTCGACGACTCGACTGTGTTGCAACGAGTTCGGCGCGCTCGAAGATAGCAGCCAATTGTCGTCGAGAAGATCGCGCGCGCAACTGGCTCGAAGATCGTGCGCGGCGATGCCGAAAGCTCCGGACACCGACCTCTTCAGTTTTTGGAGAGAATTGAAGGCGGATCCTTCCTTGGACTTTACGTCAGGAGCGCAAAAGTAAGCTCTCGCGTCGTCTCTGGGCAACGAGAGCGAGAAAACGTGAGCTCGCGGAGGATATTTGAAGGGGGCTGGTAACGGCGGCGGTGGCGGCGAGTCGACCCCCGCGTCGCTGCTCGATTCTTCTCCTAGGTCCTGCTGCGGTGTCCACGCGGGTCTGATCGGCGCCGTTTTCGTCCTGTTTATCGTACTTACGTCCAGCGAGTCGTCGTTCGCCGCTCCAGCGTCGCCGGATATGCCCGAGTCGCCGGATTTGTCGTGCCAGCTGCGCGGACCCAGCGACAGCGGAAACGGGGGCGGCGGTCTCGATAAACGTTCTATTCGTTCCTCGAACGTCACCTGAAACGCGAAACGACTGGGCAATTGGTTTCGTCGGCTCCGATGACCGGGAACTCGTTCACGAACCGGCAACTCTTCGCTGGCGNNGTGCTTGGTCCCGGCGCTTCCAAAGCCGACAGTAATCTCCACGCAGCCGACGGGGAAAATCGTGGAATCTCCAACTGCTTCTTCGGCAGGGTCGGTCGCAGTTTCAACGAGATGTTTTCCACCACGTTTCGGTCCTGGGGAAAAAGGAAACATCGGATAAAAAGTAGCGACGAAAGGAAAATACGATCTCGAACTCACGTCGTCGTTATCGTCGTCGTCGCGTTCGAGCGCGTCCACCGAACGTCCGGTATCCTCGTTTCTACCGTTCAAATATTTGAACTCGGTTTCCTCGATTTCCTCGATCGCCTTTATCGCCTCGGCTTCCTCGGTTCCTCGGGGCTCCGGTTCGCCGTTTCGCGGCCGCGTCTCGTTCATGCCGAAGTAAAAGGTCTTTGGCGCGGATCGCGTCGGGGAGACGAACCTAACGAATCGACACAGAAGAATGTTTGGGTTTACGGACGGCGATGAAAAGCGAGCGGAAGCTGAGCGCGCGAGCCCTCCCTTTCTCCCCTGCCTCGAACGAGTAACTTACGGCCGACCGCGTTCTCGTCTCGCACGATCGTCCTCGAGCACGGACGTGGTCGTTTCCCCGACAGGGTTGCTCCTTCTCTTCGTCTCCGATTTATCCAGCGCCGCGCCGTCCGTTCGTTCTCCGTCGATCGAACGTTTGCGGCG